GAATATCTGGAACTCAATCAATGTANAGAATGCCATGGTGAAAGGCTGGTTGATCAATTCCATGGACCAATCCTTGGTTGTGAACTTTATTCACTACCCAATGCTCAAGAAGGTATGGGATTCTGTTACCAAAACATACTTTGATGGATATGACACCGCACAGGAATACTTACCTAGACGTCGTATATCTCGAATGAAACAAACAGGTAAATCTATAGAAAAATACTATAACGATCTACAGAGTTTGTGGCGAGAGATTGATTTTCGTCGTCCAAATCCAATGGAATGTGAAACTGACATACAAAGCTACAACTCCATTCTATAGGAAGAGGGAGTATACACTTTTCTCGACAGACTAGATGATCGACTGGATCATGTTCAGGGCGACGTTTTACACCTGAAACCTTTTCTTTCAATTGAGCAGGCATATGTTCACATTCGAATGGAAGATCTCCAAGAATCTGTGATGATATCAAGAGCGGAAACAGTGGCTAGTGGTGCTGTTATGGCCATCAAAGGCGTGAAATCTGGTCAGTCACAAACTTTGCTGAAATCTAGGTCATCCTCACGATCCAGCGATAATTCTGATGGAAATAAGTGCATCCACTGTGGGAGTACAAAACATAACCGAGACACCTGCTTCAAACTACATGGCTACCCAGACTGGTGGCATGAATTACAAGCTAGAAAAAACGAGATGCTCCTACAACTGAAGCCGTCCTGGGTCGAGCAGAGGTGGCTAGGGCTGACTCTCAACTATCCCTTATTCCCGTGATAGAACTTTCACCTCAATCTCGGATCAAGGTAATTGTGGTCATGTTTTTTGTAGCTCTACTACTCAGAATAATGGTGGCTGGATTATCGACTCCGGAGCGATAGACCATATGACATTTGATCTAAATGACTTTCCCAACGCAACTCAGCCAAAGAGCACTTGCATTGCCAATGCCAATGGGGCAACTTACCCAGTTACAGGGGCTGGAATCATGCCCTTGTCTCCCTCTCTCTCTTTAACTTACACACTTCTTGTTCCATCACTTTCCAATAAGTTTATATATGTGAGTCAAGTTACTGAAGAGCTTATATACTCTACTTTTTGCCTTCTTCAGGATGTTCTCGGCAAGGAGATTATTGGGTGTGGTACTAAGAGGGGAGACTGTACTACTTGGATGACTTCAGCCCAAGAAGAGCAAATAACATGCACCATCAAACCAGTAGCCACAAACGATAGATTTGGCTATGGCATAGATGCTTGGGGCACCCATCATTTGGCTATCTCCGGCATCTACTTCCATCTGTATTCTCCCATTTGCAGAATGTAGAATTTAAATATGATATATGTATTAAGGCTTAAAGTCAACGATGCATGGGGACCATCCTCAATAACTACTTCCTCTGGTTACCTTTGGTTTGTAATTTTTGTTGATGATTGTACTCGAATGACATGGCTCTATCACTTGAAACCAAAGGCGAAGTTTTCACTTTCTTTCAAGCATTTCATGCCATGATTCAGACTCAATTTTCTTTCAAGATAAAAATTATTCGTTTAGATAATGGTTGCGAATTCATCAACCAAAGATTTTAGGCCTATTTCCAACAACATGGTCTCCTCCTCTCAAACACCAGAACAAAATGGTATCGCTTAGAGGAAAAATCGACATATTTTGGAAACAACCTGTGATATACTCCTTGGAGCAATGGTGTCGAGTTGCCATTGGGAGGATGCTGTAGCTACTGCCATGCACCTAATCAACCATATGCCATCTAAAATTCTACACTTTAAAACCCCCTTACAAATCCTCTCTACTCATATATCCATTCTTTCCATATTAATGCTTCCTCCTTGAATTTTCGGGTATGTTGCCTTTGTCCACCTCCACAAAAACAGAGTACCAAACTGGACCCATGTGCCATTAGGTGCTTCTTTTTGGGATATGGTTTACATAAAAAAGGTTTTCGAAGCTGTGATCCCGATATCAACCGAACCTATATCATCATGGACGTTACGTTTCTTGAGTCTGAGAACTTTTATTCTTCAAGAGTATCCAATTCTCCCCTTCAGGGTGAGACTCTAGGAGAAGAGTCAAATTGGTTAATGGCCCCCGTGGGTGAGCATGGAACTAGGAATAGAGAGGTTGAATCACACGAGGTAGCACTAGAAATTGAAGATGCCGAATTGAGAAATGAAGAACCTAGAAATGAAGAGGCCGAAAATGAAGAACCAAAAAATGCAGAGTCCCATCACTCCTCAGTACCCGAAGACCCTCATCCTGAGAATGTCCAGGAGGTAAGTACTTCCACTGCACCTTTACATGCTAATATCCTGGATTCTTCTACTAGTCATGTGCTGCCTTTTAGACACAATCATGGGAAACCACTAAATAGATACTCCCTAGATGAAGAAGAAATAAAATCCAAGTACCCAATTGCAAATTATGTATCTACTCAAGGTCTGTCCAAGCCTCTCAAGACTTTCACTCAAACACTATCCTCCTGCCGTATTCCCAGTAGTGTTGAGGAGGTGTTATTTGATCTAGAGTGAGCGCAAGCAATGCAAGAAGAACTAGAAGCCTTAAATAAAAATAATACCAGGAAGTTGGTTCCATGACCGAAAGGAAAAAAAATAGTGTGATGCAAATGGATATTTTCTATAAAATACAAGGATGATGGAACAATTGACTGATACAAGGCGAGACTTGTGGCGAAGGGCTTTACCCAAACATATGGCATAGACTACTTAGAAACCTTCTCACCAGTAGCTAAACTAAATACCATTATAGTCTTATTGTCTCTTACAGCAAATTTGGACTGGCCACTGCATCAACTCGATGTGAAAAATGTTTTCCTTCATGGCGACCTTGACGAGGAAGTATACATGGATATTCTGCCAAGATATACAGGATCTGCTGAGACCAAAATTGTTTGTAAATTGGAGAGGGCATTATATGGACTAAAGCAATCACCTCGAGCATGGTTTGACCAATTTAGTTCAGCTATGAAGAAGTATGGTTATCACCAAAGTAACTCAGACCATACTCTCTTCCTGAAACATCAACAAAGCAAGGTGACGACATTAATAGTCTATGTGGATGATATGATAATTACGGGGGATGGTGCCGAGGAGATCTCAAGGCTACAAGAACAATAGTCTATTGAGTTTCAAATGAAGAACTTAGGCGGGCTTAAGTATTTTCTGGGAATAGAGGTGGCAAGGTCAGAAGGGACATATCCTCTCTCAATGGAAGTATGTACTATACTTATTGACAGAAGTGGGATTACTAGAGTGCAAACCTGCGGATACGCAGATTTTGCAGAACCATAGGCTTGGGGAATATTTGAACCAGGTGCCAGCCGATAAGTTGAGGTATCAAAGACTAGTGGGGAAGCTCGTTTACTTATCTCACACTCGCCTAGACATTGCTTACGCCATAAGTGTGGTAAGCCAATTTATGCATAATTCGAGTGAAGACCATATGGGTGCCGTAATTCAAATCCTTCGCTATCTAAAGTCATCACTAGGAAAATGATTAATGTTCTCCAAGAATGACCATCTGAACATTGAAGGGTACACTGATGCGGACTGGGCGGTGAATATCTTGGATAAAAAGTCCACCTCGGGCTACTTTACATTTGTGGGAGGAAACTTAGTTACTTGGAGTAGTAAAAAGCAGAAGGTAGTGGCATTGTCCAGCACTAAAGTTGAGTTTCGAGGCATGGCAAAAGGATTGTGTGAACTTCTTAGGCTTAGAAGTTTGCTAACAGAGGTCGGTTTTTCTCCTGGCTCTGCAATGAATTTATTCTGTGCTAACAAAGCTGCCATCGACATATCTCACAACCCAATTCAACACGATCGCACCAAGCGCGTGGAGGTAGACGGACATTTCATCAAACAGAACTTGGAAGAGAAGATTATTCAGTTCCATTTTGTTAAATCTGATGATCAGTTGGCAAACATTCTTCTTACCAAGGCAGTTTCCAATAGAAACTTTTATGACTCACTTGACAAGTTGAGCGTTGGAGATATCTACACACCAACTTGAGAGGGAGTGTTGGCGTGATTCATGCAATTAGCTAGCTATGGAAATCTTAGATTTAGGAATCCCTCCACTCAAGGGTCAAACACGATTGTAGCCGTAAATATTGTATAGACAAAGAATAGCTTCCTAAAATAGTTTCTTGTATCTACATATCTTGTACTCTATTTTATGGAATAAATATAGAGAAAAATTACGTTTGACATAACTAACTGCTAATGTTGAAACGAATAAATCCCAGCGAACTCTTCCACATTTGGATATTAAATAGCGACCAAGACATTAACAATTTATCAATTTTATTTTTTATTTCGAGTTAATAAGAGAATATTATTAAGGAAAATCACCCCAATCAAATCGGGAAATAAGCAATGGACAAGAATAGCACCACTATACATCACTAGACAAAAGAGTAGCTAGTCTCGGTGCGTAACTCCATCTTAGTGTATAACTCTGACAGCTACAACCATTTAGCATCGTCGCAAGCAACACTCAGTGCGCTGGTGCAGTGGTAAAGATGAAATTAAAGAGGACAACTAACTCTAAACGGAATTAAAATCATAATTTAATTAAACTTAACAAAATATCGGAATAACGAAAAATGTACTTCCCTTCACTCAAAACAGACATGAAATTCTCCAAAAAATGGACTCTCCAAAAAAATTACTTCTTTTAACCCCGGTCCTAATTTTCCATGAAATCTTTTTCTTTCAGTATTGCATCAGGAAGAGTAATCAACAATCGAGCACCCTCGGTTTCGCCTCCTTTGTTATGCTTCTAGAAAAAACTCCAAGCAGATGAAGCTAGAATATACGCATCCCTCCTTCCTCCTTCATAAATCAGCTTATGATGGGCCACCCAAATTATCCAGCTAAAGACATTCGAGCAAAATATTCTCTGGTATGTTGGCGGAACAGTCCCAGCAGAGTGTCCGTAGCCCCCTTTATTTGCATTGCTTCACTCCTTTCAAGAACCCTGCTTTCGACGACATTTCCTCCACTGATCAACCACTAAACACAGCATGATTTTGTGACCCATCATGACTACAGAAAGCACGCCTGGAGTCCTGGATGATCTTCATTTTAACCGATTAAAATTTTATCAAATTTAAATCCAATGAGCAATAAATAAAACAGTATACCACATTATCACATATCATTATAAATTCAGTCACTTGTAAATTATAATTATGTATCTTTTTTTCGTTTAGTGACTATGGTAATTTCTAGAAACTCCACCAAATGCTATCCATGGACATGTTATGCTTCTAATTCAACATTGATGCCTATCATAGAATGATGCAGTGTGAAAAGAGCAGATGATTTTACAGAAATGTTGAAAAGCATTTAGCATGAAGTGAAGATCAGACTGGTAGGTAGAAAATTGAATTTGTTACCTGATAGAATTCATGGACATGAATCTGGGTCATGGATGGAATGCCAGTCAATTCGGACGTCAGGAATGTCAGCAATAATGGGCCAGTATTCTCCTTTGTTCTTCAAACACCGTTTCTTAAGAAGTGAGCAGTCTCCACCAATACGAAGTCTTGAAAGGTTGTGGAGCTGATCTTCCATAGGCAAGGACACAAGTTTTGGACAATCAGAGATCTGTAAATGGTGAAGAGAGGTAAGGTTTTGGAAGCCCTTTGATAAGGTTTCCAGATTCGGCAGGTGACTCAATGTCAAGAAAGTTAGAGATGGAGGAAGTAAATAGCGTTGACAATCATCATCATCGTTAGAAAAGGAAACCAAATCTGGATATCCACCAAAGAGTCCAAATGTATCAAGACGGGCGAGTTTGTGTAGGTTCCACTCCCCCAAGGGCTTTAGAGTACCACAATTACCAACTATAAGGTCTGTCAAATTTGGGGGAATATTCCCTTGTGGAAAGGGCTCAATTAGTGAAGGACAATTGCGCACAGACAGCGATTCAAGGGACAAAAGTAATTCCATACTATTGGGTAAGGACTTGAGATGTTTACAATCACCGATCAAAAGAGATTTCAAATTGGGAGTGGGCAAGCCTCCATGGGGAAACGACTCCAAACCATTACAATCATCTATATACAGCATAGTGAGACTTGAGTAACTACGAACAGAACCCAGCAAAGTTGTCAAATTCAAATTCGCCCAACTTCCAATAGTGAGATGTTCAAGTGAGGTACTACAATCCAGTAGTGTCGTCATCATATTCAATGATGAACAATTGCTGATATACAACAACTCTAGACAAGAAATGTTATTGGGCAACAACTCCAGAGCTCCACAACTCCATATCTTAACGGATCTAACAGGAAGAACACCAATCTCTTGAAGGGACAATAGCTGAGGACATCTAGCAACAAATACTTGTTTTAGGCTTATTAGGTTTTGTTCAATATTATCCCTTGGCCATAGAGTCAAAAGGTCATCACAATCAGAAACTTCAAAATTTTTAAGTGCAAAGGGAAACTGTACAAATGCTTTGAAAGCTGAAGTTAATCCGAAAATTCTCCATAACTTTAATTGGGTTAAAGATTCCAAATTTCGCATATGATTTAGCACAACCTCATTACACTCTCGTGCTTCTAGTTCACAAAGAGATGGCAGTGAGAGAATCGGAAGCTTGAACAATTTGGGACATCTTCTTATGTACAATTTAGATAGTTGAGGAAGTACTATAATACCTTCTTCTTCATGTGCTAATCCAAGCCATTCCTCCCAATCTGGCATATCCTCAAAAGTTAGGCTGTCTAGCGATGGAAAAGGTAATTCTCCACTGTCTTTATTTCCAAAAAAATCAGCTCCGATTACTTTAATTTGATCCATTCCTCGAATGCTCAATTCTCTTAGTAAAGGTAATTGCCCTAATGATGGCAACGTTGTGCACTTTCTACAAAAATTGAAGCTTATCTTTTCTAACTTAAGAAATGCTGAATCTCCAATCCAACTAGCGAATTTGGCACCACCATAACACTCGACTTCAAGACTTGATAAGCTTTCGTGGGGCCTTAATGCATTAAGCACCTCAAATTCCAGAATTTCATTCCGGCAATCACCAAACTTGTTGCTCCATGTCAACCTTATTTTGTTAAGTCTTTGCTTATAAATTAGCTTCGCATCAATTGCTTCTTGGACATTCACCACATTTTGCAATTCAAGAATTGAAATTTCACCTTGTAGAAGTGATAGATTCCCCAAGTCCCTTAACCTCATCCCGCTACTTTTACTCACAATCATCTTAGATAACGTTCGCAAACTTGCTAGCTGAGAAATTCCTTGAGGCACTTCATGCAAATTATTAGTATTAACAATGTCCAGATGGTAAAGATTAATCAGATGTTCCATGCTAGCAGGCAATTTGGTCAGTCTGGGACAACCTCTTAGAATCAACACTTGTAAGTTGATAAGGGTGCACACAGATAGAGGCAACCATTTCAGTAAAGTTTCACTTAAGTCCAGATATCTTAAATGTCTCAAATCACCAACAGAATCTGGCAACTCATATACAGAAAAACCATTTAATGATAGCACTCTTAAGCAATACAAATTTGGCAAAAGGTCGAGCAAAACTCTTTTGGATAAGAATTCTTCAAAATACTTCCTCTCAATCGGTAGGGGCAAAAATGTTCTCAATCTTTGAATTTGACTGACAAAATTAAATCTCTTGTAAGATTCATATTGATGACGAATGAATGAAAAGTGACGGACATTTTCAGAAATGTTTCTGGGAAGATTTTCCTTCAACACTTCGTCCATCCTCAAACATTTATCACCAGCAACAAATTTAGCTAGATCATTAAGGAGGTCATGCATCACAAAACATGAAGCATTGGCACTTGGTTGTTGAAAAAATGATCTCGCCAACAGTTCATCAAAATACTGACTACCCAAGTCTTCTGCTAACATTTCTTTCTCTTGTTCCTGGAGAAAACCTTCTGCCATCCATAGGTAAACGAGCTGGGACTTGTCAAACTCGTAGCCCTTGGGAAAGAGAGCTAAGTAAGAAAAACATCTTTTCAACTGTGGAGAAAGAAATTGGTAACTGAGTTTTAAAGCAGGAAGAATTTCACTCTTTTCATTAGCTATCCAAATCGCACTATTCAACACATTTTCCCAGTCTTTATGACCAACTATTGTGCGTAGAAGTCCTCCAATCGACTTTACAGCCAGGGGTAAGTTTTTACATCTACTCACAATAGAAGTGCCAACTTCTCTCAGATGTGGGTGTTCATCAAAAGTTTTGGAATCAAGTGCATGTTGAGCTAACAGTGATAAAGCATCATCATCTGATAACACAGAAAGATGATATCCTGGGATTTGAGACATGATCTTAGCCACCCTTTCTTGTCTAGTTGTGACAATGATTTTGCTTCCTGGTTTTCCACTGAAGAAAGGACGACGTAGGATGTCCCAATCTCCATAGCTTTCATTCCAAACATCATCTAAAACCACTAGAAATCTCTTGTTTGAAAGCTTTTCCTTTAGTTTAACTTGAAGCATGTTAAAATCATCATAGTCAGACCTTTGAGATGAGACTGTCTCAAGGATGATTTTTGTTACCCTAAAAGCTTCAAATTCATCTGAAACGCAAGCCCATGCCATGAGATCAAACTCCTCCTTTACTCTATCATCATTGTACACTAGCTGGGCAAGAGTTGTTTTCCCAACACCTCCCATGCCCACAATTGGAATTACGGAAAATGGACTATCAGTTGATTCAACTCCCAACAACATGTTGAGTATATCCTCTTTGTCCTTCTCTCGGCCATGCACTTGAGATTCTAGCACAACCGAAGTCAGTTGTAATCTTGTTACTGTTCTATCACGCCTCCCCCTCACATTCATCACCAATCTGAGCATACTAACCTGTTGGGCTAGATCATCCAATCGGTCATTAATATCTTTTAGCTTTGAACCCATCCCACTTTCAGAAATTAAATCACTGAAATTAGTAGAGAAAGATGTGAAAAGCTTTTGTACCTGGCTGGTGCTTGTTTCATTAGTTTCTTTTAATTCGCGGTGGAGAGCTTCTGTGTTCAACTTATCCACCAAGTCATCAAGATCATAAGCCAATTCCTCCAGATCATTCAGCCACACTTTCACAGCTCTATTCGATGTTTGCTTGTTTTCTGCATCGTTAAGGACTGCCTCGATCGTCAACAACGTTCTGTACCATTTTTTCAAATGGGCATCGATTCCTGCGGGATGAAGAAATCTCAGCAGCTTCCGAGAGGTCAGCCTCTCGAGCAAAACAGTGATAAAAGCCCCTATAAACACTTCACCAATAGCCATTGTTATCTTTTTGGGTAAAAACTTGAAAGGTATTTTTGAACTTGAGGTGTTGGTTTCGCAAGCAGATAATTGTTGATAAGGGTGGTCAATAATTAACGCAGGCGGAGGCTGAGCAACGAGTTGATTTTTTATTTTATGATTGAGAAAAGAGGAGACTTTAAATGCAAAGGTTTAAGTCAACGTATGAACTATTTTCCATGGGTTTACCATGGTATCATGTTCATACCGTTGTATTGAATGATCCCGATCAGTTGCTTTCCATTCATACAATGCATACAACTCTAGTTGTTGTTTGGGCAGGTTCGATGGCTCTGTATGAATTAGCGGTTTTTGATCCTTCTCACCCTGTTTGGAGGGGAGTTATTGTCTATCG